TCATAAATCACTGGCCCTCATAAATGTTTTTGTGCATCTTTAGGACCTTAAAGCAACCTTAAATAGGAGAACTACTGAAATAAATTCTATAGTCATGCTTCAATTGTCTACAATAGTGCTGTCCAGTAGAAATATAATGCAAGCCACAAATGTGACTTAAAAATGGTTAGTAGCCATATATTTTTTAATGTTTATGTATTTTTGAGAGTGAGAGAAAGCACGAGTAGAGGGGGGGCAGGAAGAGAGAAGGAGACAGAGAATCTGAAGCAGGCTCCCAGCTGCCAGCATAGATCCCAACATGGGGCTCAAATCCACAAACCATAAGATTTTTGACCTGAGCCAAAGTCAGATGCTTAATCGCCTAACCTACCGGGGTGCCCTTTTAGTAGCTATATTTTAAAATGTAGGGAAAAAAAAAACCAGGTGACCTTAATTTTAATAATATACTTAACTAGGCATATTAAAAATATTATTTCAACATGAAATCAATATCAAAGTTGAGAATCAAACAACAGAGAAATTATATTTTAAAATAGTAGGAATACTTACAATTCAATTAAAAATTACATGAATAGAAAAAATAGACAAGAACAGACATTTCACAGAGGAGAATATACAAATAACCAATAAATATTTAAAAATATGCTTAGGCAGCCTGGATGGCTTAGCCCGTTAAGCATCTGACTTTGGTTTTGTTCATGATCTTGCAGTTCGTGCCCTTTGTCAGGCTTTGTGCTGACAGCTCAGAGCCTGGAGCCTGCTTTGGATTCTGTGTCTTCTGCTCTCTCTGCCCCTTCTACTCTCTCCCTCTCTCGCTCTCTCAAAAATAAATAAACATTTAAAAATGTTTAAAAACTATGCCCAACTTCATTAATAATTATAGCAACATAAATTAAACAACAGTGCAAAGGAGAGCTGGGCACAGCTTCAGGAGGAAAGAGAACAAACTGGAATACATGTGCACTCCTGCATCTTTCTTTCACAAGCTCTAACCAGAGGAAAGTATAGAGTGTAATGCCTAAGCCTTCACTGCCACCTCCTGAATATCATGCCACTTTCAGGGAACTTTAACCAGGAGCCATATACAAAGCAAGATTCTAGGAAATATAGTTCCCAATATAAACAGATTGACGGTTTGAACAGTCCAGCACAATGGGCTCACCATACTTGCTAAAATAAAGAAGACTGATGATACTAAATGTTGGTGGAGCTGTGGCACAGCTGGAATTTTCATTCATTACTGGGAGGAGTGTAAATTGGTAGAGCTTTATTGGAAAACTTGGCATTTTTTGCTGAAGGTAAACATACATAACCTAAATACTTAGCAAAAAAAAAAAAAAGAGAGAGAGAGAGAGAGACATGTATAAAAACACTCATAGAAGCATTATTCATAATATTTTCCCCAAAATGGAACCCAAATTATAACACCATAAATTAGTTTTGCCTGTTTATAAACTTTATGTAAATGGAATAATAAGTATATACTTTCATGTTCCTTATTTTGCTTAAAATTATATTTGATAGATTCATTTCTACTGTTGATTGTAGCTAAAGTTTTTTCATTTTCATTACCATGTAGCATTCCATCCTATGATTGTTCCACAATTTATTTGTCCATTGTACCATTGATGGTCATTTGGGTCATTTTCTATTTGGGGATAATTAGTGCTATTTGTGAGTACTTTTGTACATGTCTTTTGTTGAGTGAATACTTTTATACATGTCTTTCTGTTAATATATAACTGAGAGCAAATTACTGTGCCATAGTGTATACTAACCATATGTCAGTTAATTAGATTAACTGCCAAACAGTTTTCTAAAATGATCGTACCAGTTTACACTCAGCTGAAACTATGAGTTTTACTTGCTCTCTGTCCTCATAGAAATTTGTTATTGGTTGTTATTACAGTCATATAGACATTCATCTGTTCTATCCGGGTCCAAAGCTTAAATGTATGGTATCTCAATGTGGTTCTAACTTGCATTTCTCTTATGATTAGTGAAGTTGAACCCTTTTGTCTCATGTTTGTCAGTCTTTGGATATCCTTTTCTTCATGGAGTGCTGGTGAAGTCTTGCCCATTTTATTTCTGATTTTCTTTTACCGATTTGTGGAGTTCTTTATATTTTCGAGATAAAAGCCTTGTGTCATGAAAGTGTATTTAAATACCATCTCATGCTTTATACTTTGCCTTTTCATTGTCTTGTATCTTCCAATTTAGTTACTAATTTTAATGACAAAGTAAACAATATAACTTTTTATTTATGTTTAGTGCCTTGTGTCCTGCTAGAAAAATCTCACACCACTAACCACTCCCCAACCTTGCTGGCTTTTCAATTCCTTGAAGGAGACTTCTGCTCCCTACTTGTGTCTTGAGAGTTTTTCCTCATTTTTATTTTTTAACTTTTAGGTCACATATTTCCTCAAGGAACTACTCTGTGACTCCCAGAGTAGATGTTGTTCTCTCTGTTCTACACTCTCATAATATGCTGTACTTTGCTTGCAGAGAAGCAGTAGATTTTTGCAATATTAGTTTAGTCTGTTTCTCTATCCAGGAGGTCAAGGAGCAAGGTTGTTTTGCTCACCACTGAGTGCTACTCCTTCTGCTTATCCCAGTTACTGGCATATAATAGGAGCTCATTAAATACTGAGTTTGCTTATGGTTTTATGTTTGTGACATTTTGTAGTCTTTATAGAGAACATGTCTGAGGCATATTGAACAGTAATAAGATACTTATAAGTTAATCATATAAGTTGAAAATACACTTTTGCTTCATACCTTTCTGTTTTGGGGAATTGATGAGATTGTGGAGTAGGGATACTTTTCCTGTTCTCTCTGAAACAGAATATACCCTCACCTAGATTTTCACATTATTTAAGTGTTTTTCCTTTCCCACTTATTTTTATTTATTTATTTATTTTGAGAGAGAGAGAGAGAGAGAGAGAGATTGAGAGTGAGCAGAGGAGGGGCAGAGAGAGAGGGAGACAGAGAATCCTGAGCCAGCTCTGCACTGTTAGTGTGGAGCCCATTGAGGGACTCGAACTCACAAACCCTGAGATCATGACCTGAGCTGAAATCAAGAGTCAGATGCTTAACCAACTGAGCCAACCAGGCTCCCTTTCCATTTCTTAAGTGATATATTTATATTTAAGTTGAAAGCTCTACAGTGAGAGGACTGTATCACATTTAATATAAATGGCAGTAAAACTGCTCAAGCAATGGGAATATTATATAGACACAGTGAATAAACAAATAAGGTGTGTGGTATTAGCTGTGTTTCTTCTGACTTTTTGGAAATGGTATTGAATTACCAAAGTACAGTGTGATTTATTTTTTATAATACTTTGCATCAGCAAAATGGCATCTATTAGATGCTTGGAAAATGCTTAGCTACAAATTTATGTCCCTCACAACTTGTCTTCATTTGCATATGTTTTGAAAAACTTTAGTCTTTTCTGTTTCTCTTTTCAGAGAGAAGAATAAATTTGATCACCTTATCTATATGTTTCATTGTGGACTATCACTGCTATTCTTCACTTAAAATGAAAATGTTCTGATAGAGATACCTCCTATAATGATGATCTTTTTGGTGGAATTGATAGGATCATATAGACATGTTATCTCCAAGCCTCTGATGATTGAGCTCCTTATTTTTATTTTAGAAGAGAAGCACTGCTTTCCGTTAATAAGAAAATGAGATTGGGACACATGGTGGCTCAGTCAGTTAAGCGTTCAACCCTTGATTTTGGCTCAGGTCATGACCTCATCATCATGGGATCAAGCCCTGCATTGGTCTCCATGCTAAGCATGGAGCCTGCTTGGGATTCATTCTCTCTCTCTCTCTCTCTCTCTCTCTCTCTCTCTCTCTCCCCCTCCCCTCTCTCTCCCTCTCTCTCCCTCTCTCTCCCTCTCTGTCTCCCTCTCTGTCTCTCTCTCTGTCTCCCTCTCTCTCCCTCTGAATGAATGAATGAATGAATATTTTTTAAAAAGAAAATGGGATTAAAAGAAATGTGAATAAGGATTATATTTGCAGATCCTGTCTATTTATTCAACAAATCTTTATAAGCTATTTCTTTTGTGCCAGAAGTTAGGGAAATTCAGAAAGAGACAGATACTTTCTGTAAGTCTTTAAATTTTTATTGCAAATGATAATATTCTGATAAGAGTATTAGGTTTTTTTTGCTAGATGTGTCCTTTTCCTCAGTTTTAAAATAAGAATGATAAAATACCCATCTCATAAAGTTTTTGAGACAAGTAAATAAGAGTTCATCTAAAGCACTTAACCAGTGCCTGGTATATAATACTCAGCATTTGTTAGGTATTATTTACTATGAGACTTTGTTCACAACAGCCTCTTATTTATTTTCCTATGTTTCTTTCTGCTTATTTTTTCTGTATTGCTATCAGGGCTAAATTTCTAAAACACAGGTCTGATTGTGTAACATTACCTCTTGACCATCTTTCCAACTTGCAAAAACTTTTGTGGTTTTCTGTTGTCTCAAGAAGAAAGTCTCAAATACATGAATAGCATCTAGTACGTTACCATCTGACCTTCACCTCCCTTTTCCAAGCCAGCTTCTGCCTTTGCCTCCCATTAGCTTACAGCCCAAACAGGCCATGTGCAGCTACATTTCCCTGTCTTGGCTTGTGTTCTTCTTTCTGCCTAGTACTCCTGTTATAGGTCTCAACCCTTCTCACCCTTAACCTGAAGAAACGATTCTGAGCAATGTGGGCAGCTCAGAGATACCTCTTATTTTTCCCAGACAGAATTTGTTAATCCCTGTTATTTTTTTTTATCTCTTTAGCATTTATCACATTATCAAAGTTAATTACATGTGTCTTGCTCTCCCGCTAGCTTGCAAGTTCCCTTTGGAGGAGACACAATAACTTATTCATCATCGTATCACTAGAACCCAGTGGGCACTCACTAAAAACTTTGAAATCATGGATTGAGATTTGGTTTAACTTTGTTTTAATTTCAATGGTTTTTGTTATTCTAGGTTCTGGGCCTTGTCCAAAATATGAGTGTTTTCCAGTGTCCAAAATGTAAACACAGAACTCATATTTTTGGTGCTGATGGTGCCAGAAGACTAGCACGGACCCTTGGTCTTGATGTTCTAGGTAAGACCATAGGATATTGTTCTGTAGAGGAAATGGCAGAAGGGAAGATGGGGATAAGATGGTGATGAAGAGTGTCTCGGAAAATGATGAATTATCTTCAGTTTTTAAATTAAGTATAAGGAGTCGTATATGTCTGTTAACCTTTCTTTGGCTTTTTATAGTACTTCATTAGCAGAAAGCTTTTTTGAAGAGGAGGTTTGTTCTACCAATTACCATTTTTGCCATAGGTAAAAACTGCCTATAACTTTAATTTAAGAAGAGTTTTGTAGTCTGAGTGTTGTTATTTGAAGTCCTTATTTTAAATAGTGGTCCTCAGTTTGTTTGCTAAGCTGAGAACACATCTCTCAGTGTCAACAGATACCTGATCAGTGTGTTGTAACAGCCTTTGGAAGTGTCAGTTCTTGGTGCATATGAAAAAATGCCTTTCTGCTAAGTTCTGAATTTTTCAGTCCCTTTTGCTCTAGAAAACATTTTCTGTTTTCTGTAATCTTTTAAAAAAAATTTTTTTTAATGTTTTACTTGTTTTTGAGAGAGAGAGACAGCATGAGCAGGCAAGGGTCAGAGAGAGAGAGAGACACACACAGAATCCAAAGACAGGCTCCAGGCTCTGAGCAGCCGTCAGCACAGAGCCTGACGCAGGGCTCGAACCCATGAACGTGAGATCATGACCTAAGCCGAAGTCAGACGCTTAACCGACTGAGCTACCCAGGTGCCCCTTTTGTAATCTTCTTATATGTGTTTGCCATGTCTGTGAAATATAGTACCTGAAATTTACATTGTATATACTGTTCACGTTACTGAATTGAAGGATTAGTTAGTGTTATGAGAAGTAAAGTCAAGTGTAAAGTGAGCAAAACACAAATTGTAGGTAAAACATGATTTTTGAAAAATCCACAAGCAACTTAATGGACGCTTTAGGAGACATGTTGATAATTTTCCTTATGAGTGAGTTTCTGTTCTGGGCAAAGGCAGAAGTTAGATGCTGAAAAAGGGAGGAATAGAGTGAATTATTAGTTTTAGGAAGTTAACAATTAAAATCCCTTAGAGATCAAGGAATTTCAAAGCATTCTTTATTATAATTAAACTTCAAAAGTTGATGTTAAATGTGTTATTATTATTATGCATTTATACTATAGCAGCCACCACAATACGTGAATACTAATGTTATATTTTGATACATTGCTATCATTACAGCGACTAATTATATTCTGCAACTGTTTTTTATTTAACTAACCTAGAAAGTTCAATTTCCCAAATCTGCATAATAGCAACATATTGATATACATTTATGTAATAAAGTAAATGTGTGTAATTATAATGGCATTATTGAACTATGCTGACAGTATTATAATTCCCTGATTTATAAATGAGTGGTATGATATATGTTACTGTAAATCATTTATTTAGAATTTGAAATATATCTCTTAGGAAAACAATCACACTAAGTTACATTTTATCCAAGAGCTCACAAATGTATAGTTACCCTGAAAAAGAGTCAGAAATACTGATGACTGAGCACACAAAATGGATAGTGTTTATAGATTGCTGTATCTAACAGTGTTATGGGGAAAGTAATTTGGAGTTCCAACTGAGGGCACATCTCTTCCTTTTAACGCAGTTATGGGGCCCAGTGAGACCTCCCATGGTCCGGAGCAGGGGCTTCAATAACAGAGAGGTTGTAGTCAGGAAGGACAACCTGAAGTCAGGGAAAGAGCTCTCCCAGCTGTCGCCTCCTGGCTGGTTGAACTTTCTTTAATGACTCTATGGCTGCCTCTTAATTTATTGTCATCTATTGGGCTGCACTAAATAATTATTTGGTAAAATGGTTCTCAGAACTCTCCTGTAGCAGTTATGTCTCTGAAATACACCCTTGCTTCAGACCTAGCCCCTTAAAGATACGTTTCAAGGCCAAACTGCATTTCACTCACTCTCCATACCATTACTCCTTTTTCTCCTCCTCTGTTATTGCAACTGTTAGCCCATTACCACTCTCACTATGGTGTGCCACCTATTTTCTAAAAAGGTTTTCCTTTTCCTTGATTAGCTCTTCTGTGCTTATAGATAGAATTATGAATCCCTGAAAGTCAGAAACTATATTGATAGGTGCCTATATAAAGGAGAAGATTCTATCTTTTTTCATTTCGCAATAGAAATTAAAACATTCAGGATTCCTTACTTTAATGGCATAAATCAAGAGAAAAAACTTTATGGGTTTCTAGGAATTTTCTGTAACATATATTCCTCTACTCCTGTGACAGTTTCTTATAGTCTTAAATTGATCTATAGAATAGACATCAAATTTAAATGACTACTGAAATATTCATTTATTTTGTCATTTGGCTATCAAACATTTGGGAAAGATTTAAAAAGTTGATTAAGATGCCAAAATTTGCTGACAAGAGGAGCACGAAATACCTGTTCCTCTATGTACTTCATAATATAAATCGTAATAGGCTTGTAATTTTGTAACCTATACTTCTGCTTTATTTACATAGTCTGGAATGGTGTTGAATGCCTTATGTATATAAACATGCTCACATACACACAGGTTTCAGTAACCCTTGCATGGATTTGGTGTTGTTCTCAGAATGCTCAGTAACATAATGAGTCAGCTATTCTACTTAAGACTCCATTTACAGCATTTTAAGTATAAGCCTTTTGAGGGGCGCCTGGGTGGCTCAGTTGGTTAAGCGTCTGACTTCAGCTCAGGTCATGATCTCACGGTTTGTGGTTTGAGCCTTGCGTCAGGCTCTGTGCTGACAGCCTGGAGCCTGCTTCGGATTCTGCATCTCCCCCCTCTGTGCTCCTTCCCTGCTTGTACTCTCTTTCTCTCAAAAATGAATAAGCATTAAAAAAAATTTTAAAGAAAAATAATAATAAATCTAAGCCTTTTGAAAGGCTTCATTTGTGAAGGTGTGGTGGAGTCAACTGGACTATGGATCAGAGTGTTTTCCCCCTAAATTCTACCACCTAACACTAACATATACCTGGGAGAGACATAATTTTTCTGACAAGTCTGTATAGTAGAGGTCTTATATACTTCCTGAGATTTCATCAAGATTACAAGTTATATATAATGCTATATAAATTAATACATAATAAAAGAAAAGTAGTTCAATCTGATAAAGAGGTAGGTAGTGGAGATAACAGATCTGTCATACTTTTCAGCAGTTGTCTTAGCTCACTCATCTGTCAACATCAGGAAGCTAATTTTGTTCTTCTTTTTTTGGATGTTGTCTCCCCATCTTTTCCTCTTCACTTTCCTCTTATTATTTAGTATGATGTGTCTATATCAGATATGATGGGGAGCAGTAATTTTACAAATATCTTCTAAGCAATTTCTTATGACACTCCTGTTTTATTTTTTTAATATAATTTACTGTCAAATTGGCTTCTTCTAAACCATTTCTTGCTGGAAGACCTGCAGCAAAGAATACAGGAGAGGCCTTATCCCTTGGTTGGCTGCCACATAGCTTTCATATATATATATACAATGTCTGAAATGGAATATGTTGCCCCTGATTTTCATTTGAAATTCCCTGTTTTAGAGATTTCACAGTTTGAGGATAGTCATAATTCAAGTTAACTTGAATGAATTTAGTTTAAATTTTGTTTTTTGTTTTTCTGAGGTTCACATAGTGAAATTCCAAATGCCTGTATAAACTTTTATAGTGCTAATGGATGTCTGGTGGGCTCTTTTAGGAGACATTCCCTTGCATCTTAATATAAGGGAAACTTCAGATACAGGCCAGCCGATTGTGTTTTCACAGCCTGAAAGTGATGAGGTAAGTGATGTTCTTAAATATGTGTTTTAGTATCTTTTTACAGGATATATACTTTTTGATATTTAGGAAGAAAGTTGGGAAGATCAAGTTTATCTATTTGCAGTCCATATATTAAATATTAGTTAACTTATTCAAAGCATCTTTAAATAACTGTATTATATGGTAGGCATACCAGTGCTAGCTCTGAATTATTCGCTGAACAAGTTCATTTACAAAGCCATCACTCAGGGTGCCTGGGTGGCTCCGTTGGTTAAGTGTCTGACTGTGGCTCAGGGTATGATCTCACGGTTCCTGAGTTAGAGCCCTGTATCAGGCTCTGTGTTGTCAATGCAGAGCCTGCTTGGAATTCTCTATCCACTTGCCCCCACCTCTCTCTCTCTCTCTCAAAAATAAACATTAAAAATTTTCTTAATTAAAAAAAAGAGCCATTACCCAACTAGTTTTCTCATGAAAAACACTAACAATAAGTGTTTGTAAAATTCTTATCCTGCTGCCTAGGAGTATCTAACTGCCCAAGATTACTATATTTGTATTAAGTTGTATATGTTCAGCTCATTGTTTGGAGAATGGAACATAATGTAAGAAAATACTGGGTTGGATATAGGGAAATTGTTATAATGCATTAGAGATGGGATTTTCGTTGTATTTATTTTTAATAAAAGTGATTGGGGAGATGAGATGGAAACCTAGTTGTATTTCATTAGCCAGTGTCTTTGGGGATACAGTTAATAGATTTTCAAGATTGCTAAAGTGTTACAACTTTAAGAATAAAATGTTTTATTTTACTCTCTTTTTAAGGTAGGAATACAATCAATCATATATATATATATGTGTGTGTGTGTGTGTGTATATATATATATTTTCTGTCTTAAGTAACACTTGCTGTGTAAGCTAGAAGCTGGGCTATCACCTGGTGCATCAGTTTGCATGTAGTTTTTGTGTTCCTTTGCCGAAAAGCCCCAGTCAGTCTTCTAATAGCTATTCTTTTTTGTTTTCCCCTTAGCTAACAGGTATATTATAGTACTGTTATTTTGACTATCCATAACTACTACTCCTTTCATTCCTAGCTTTCTCTAATCTTATATGAACTCGAAAATAAAAGAGCCAAGCTTGGTTAGAACTGTGAATGAAGTAAGAACTGTAAATAAATCGACAGTCAGGAGTCTTGAATATGTAAAGTACATTGAGTTTGAGTTCTCTCTTTCAGGGGCCTGAAGTCCTTAAGAGTCAGTAGCTATGGTATAGGTGATAGAGTTGCTGGGGACATGGTCTCTAAGGAAATAGAGTATAGTGTATAGCACTTATCATTGTTTTTGGTTTTTCTTTTCCTGCCTTTGTTAAATTTCCTTTTCAGTCTTTTCTTATAAATCTTTCAGATAAGCAAAAATCATAACTCTTTATTACTCTCATAATTAAATTCTGCCAACTCAGCTATCATAGGTATACTTTATGCAGAATGAAAGTTGTATGAAAATTGAGTTTGTTTTAATTACACACTTTTAAATGCCTCCCAAGAACAGACTAAAGACATTCTGTGGTGATTTCTTATGACTGAGAATAATTACTTACTAGATTATATCATTTATGAGTTTAGATTTTAAAAATAGTTTTTTAATGTTTACTTTTGAGAGAGAGAGAGAGAGAGAGTGCATGCAAGCAGTAGTGGGGGCAGGGGTAGGCAGAGAGAGACAGAGACACAGACTCTGCAGCAGACTCCAGGCTCTCAGCTGTCAGCACAGAGCCTGATGAGGGGGCTGAAACTCATGAACCGTGAGATTGTGACCTGAGCTGAAGTCAGATCATAACTGACTGAGCCACCCAGGCATCCCACATGTTTAGATTTTCTCCACCTATCCATTATTGCTGTTTTCTTTGAGATTTCTCAAAAGCAAGGGATGTTTCAAGCAGGTTAAAGGAATGTAATACAAGAGAAAACATATAGCAGCCATCAAAAGATAATATGATTTAAAGCTCTAAACAGCAGTGTTTATGTGTTTTTTTGGAGTTTTTTTTTTTAATCTCATTTACATTTGCATAAACATTAGATCTATTAGTTTTCTGTTATTGGCTGACATTTATAAGAATGAGAACAGCCTAAGCCTTTGTGGTTTTTGCTAGATTTTATTTGGTGAGGTCTTGGCAGAAGCAGTGAGAATTTCATGTACTAGGTTGTCAACCTTAAATATTGAAGATTTCTGAGCAGTTTTAAGATTTAGACATGGTCATGAAAAGAAAAAAAATATAGTGCCTTGTATGTATTCTGTTTCCATGGAAATTATTACATTCATTATTATTAACCATTCTCCTCATAATAGCAACTACACTATAGCAGACACTGTCAGACATTTTGCTTACATAATTTCTATGCTCCCAACTTAATGCAATATATAAATAGCCCCATTTTGCAGATGAGGAAACTGAGGTTCAAGGAATTTAAATAATTTTCCCAAGGTTACAGAACTAATAAATGATAAAATATGATTAACAGACAAGTCTTTTCCTTGCAAATCAATAGTTCCATTATATCATATACCTTCTGGGTCCTAGACTAATAGCTATGATTTCTTTAATTTGTTTTAAGAGATGAGTACAGTACTTAGGTGCTTTAAATACATTCTTTTATTTGGTACTCACTCTCCCAGTAATATTTAACTTTCACAGGTGACCAATATTCAAGTGATACTGATTAATTTAAAGTATGATATGTGCTGAATTTAAGGTACTATCAGAAAAGTTGGGAGGAGTTACAGTACCAGTTAAAAAGTACCAACAAGCTGCTACCTCCTCAGTCATGGGGCAAAACCTTCTGAACATGCGCACTACTAAGGAAAGGGGAATAGTTGGCTCTCCAAATATAAGTAGAGTGAAATAGCCAGAGAAGCCATAGAGGAGGATGGGAGAGGAAGTGGACACTTAGAATTCAGAACTCTAAAGTTCAATAGCATTGACCCTGTTTGTGTGATTATAATTGTTAATTCAACTCTTTCTACATTTTGCCTTTCCTTGAATCCAGGAAACAAGTAATAGACCCATAAGTGACTGATAATTTTGTGCTTTCATCCTTTTTATCAAGTAAAAATCTTAATATTGACATACAGACAGGTGTGGTATAAGGTATTCCTGATACTTTTCAAAGTAGAAACTTTATTATCTTATAATTTCCAATTTATTATAACCTTATAATCTTAATGTGATTATGTATGATAAATTAGAACTTAAAATCTTTGAAAACAGAAACAAAGGAATAAAGTTCTCCATAAAACTTCTTGCACTTTGGCTGCCATCTGTTTCCTATAACTTATTAATGACAAAGCAGACGAACAGGATCCAGCCATGTTATCTGTGTTTGTAGATGGCCCAATAAATACGATCTCAAATGGAAGACAAGGGTTATTTTATGTATAATTGAGATGATAAAAAAAAAGAGTATTAATAGTTTGGGAAATCAAAATCACATTTTTTTAAATACATGATATGTGTATGATGCCTTGTTGCTACTTATGGGTTAAACAAAAAGGAGGGATTTAGGGGCGCCTGAGTAGCTTAATTGGTTGAGCATCAGACTTCAGCTCAGGTCATGATCTCTAGCTTGTGGGTTGGAGCGCTGCGTTGGGCTCTCTGCTGACAGCTCAGAGACTGGAGCCTGCTTCAGACACAGATTCTGTGTCTCCCCCTCTCTCTGCTCCTCCCATGCTCATGCTGTGTCTCTCAATAATAAATAAAACGTTAAAAAAAAAAATCTTGAAAAAAGGGAGGGATTTAGTTTACTTGTTCCTCAGTCAGGAGAAGTACCCATAAGTACATGTTCATATGAGCTCTTCAGTGAGATCGCAAATTACTTAAGGACATAATAGTAATAATTGCAGCCACTAATACTTATTTCATTCTTTTGTGCCAGCACTTGACATACTTTATTCCTACTTAATATCCCCAAACCCTTTGAGGTAGGTGCTATTGTGGTAGACATTTTGGAGATGTGGAAGTGTTAACCCTTAGAAGAGTTAAGTAACTTCTCCAAGGCCTCAGAGCTAATAAGTGATGGAACTAAGATTTTAACTCAGGCCTGTCTAACTTCAGAGCCCCAACTCTTCACAAGTGAGCTATTCTGCCTTCCTTTTGTATCGTTACATTCCACAGATTTGCCAAAACAGTGACTCGCACATGATAAGAACCAAAAAGTATTTGTTGAAATGATACTGCATTGGCTGAAAAAATTCAGTTTCAACAGTTTTGTAGAAATTGAAACTGTTAAACTAAGCACTTTTAGAGATTTCTCAGAAAATGACAATCTAACCATTACTTTGAGTGTGATATATTAAAAGTTTAAGCTTGTAGATAGTCCATTAAAAAGCAAAGGTTAAATGTAGCAAATTTGATTATTCTGGAATCATTCAGTGTTTTGTGTAGTCTGATAGGTTTATGTCTCTAATATAAGTAAGAATTTAAGATTGATAGAATGTTGGCTTTCCCTCAGCTTGCCATAGTGAAGTTTAAATTGTCATCACAGAAATATTAAGCCTAAATATTCAGAAAAACTACTAGGAGATAAAAGGTATTTACAGAGATACATGGCTGAAAATCAGCATACTAAATTTAAGAGAAATATTTCTTTACAAAGTACATGTCATTTCCACTTTTAAACAAAACTTTTGTTTCTGTTAACTATAGCAGAGAGTGAAACCATTTTTAGATAAAGCATTATGACTAAAATTAGTTGTACTTTGGATTTACTGTTTAGTATGCAATGTAATAGAAGAATCTAGGCTTTGGAGTTAGGTGGACCCAGGTTTGATGCTTTCCAGCATAGTGACTTTGTGACAATTTCTTTATCCAAGTTGAGTTGATGATGTGATCACTTAAATCACACATAAGTGTGATTACTTATGCAAAGTACTTGGTATAATAGGTAATAAAAAAATTAAGGCTTTATTCATATTTTGAGAACTATTTTTTTTAATGTTTATATTTGAAAGAGAGGGAGAGAGAGTGGGGGAGAGGCTGAGGGGGAACAGAGGATCTGAAGCAGGGTCTGTGCTGATAGCAGAGAGCCTGATGTGACGCTCAAACTCAGGAACTGCGAGATCATGACCTGAGCCGAAGTCAAACACCTAACTGACTAATTCACCCAGGTGCCCCTCTTTTTTAATTTTAAAAATTATTGTTTATTTATTTTTGAGATAGAGCAGGGAAGGGACAGAGAGAGAGAGGGAGACAGAGGATCCAAAGCAGGTTCTGTGCTGACAGCAGAGAGCCCAATGCAGGGCTCGAACTCATGAACTATGAAATCATGACCCGAGTGAAAGTTGTATGCTTAACTAACTCAGCCACTCAGGAGCCCCAAGGACTATTCTTTTTTTAAAAAATAGACTCTCAAGTGAGATTTTGACACTTTTCTGGTAAAATAAAGCATAATTCAGCTGTTAGAGCTCAAGCACAGTTTTTAGAAATGAAAATGTGTCAAATACATTTAACACACTTCTGTAAATCAGGGTAAACAGACCTCAGACAGTTCTTTTACCATGCAGTCAGAGAGTTGGTCAGGCTGGGATCAAAGACCAGGTTATCTGGTATTAGTTATAATGCTTCAGGCAAGACTGTTCACCTTTCTGGGTCTAGGTTTCCTTATCTATAAAGTGGGGTTAGTGACAGAATTTATCCCTTAAAGTAGCTGTGAGTAATGAAACGTTACTTGGTAAATGTTAAGTACTCAAGTAAATTTTAACTATTATGAACCATAGTAATTTTAGTAGTAGTAGTAGTAGTAGTAGTAGTAGTAGTAGTAGTAGTAGTATATTCATAAATCTAAGTATATAAATGTATAAATTAATGATTTTAGAAGACCTTACTGTTGTTTTACAGTTACTTTTTATAGATGCTATAGGAGAAATAAATAATATTTGCATTGCAATTATTCAAAACATTATTTTTAAGGTTTATTTTTGAGAGAGACAGAGCACGAGCATGGGAGGAACAGAGAGAGATACACAGAACCTGAAATAGGCTCCAGGCTCTGAGCTGTCAGCACAGAGCTGGATACTGGGGTGGAACTTGGGGTGAGATCATGACCTGTTCCACCCAGGTGTCCCTAATTATTAAAAACTTTTAAAATGCAAATGTTACGACCATTGCTCTGACTGGACCTGGTAGGCATTGGGTTAGTTTGTGACTCACAGTGGCTTGGGAATTCCTATTAGTATTTGGCTGCTCTGGGGATCCGAAAGATGAAGAGTGTAACAACTGATCCCAGGAATTTTTGCCTGGTACCCAAATTTCACCAGGTGAAGGAGCCTATAGGTGCTCAGTGCCAGTATTGGAAGCCATTCTCATAGAGAATAGAAAATGCTCCATAGGGTGGTAATAAACAGTCCTTTTTGAAATGACTGACAGCTCTCATTCCAAAGAAGTTTGGGCAGTATCTAACTCATGGTATCAATTTATCAGAAGAGGAAGATACAATTTTTCTACAACTGGACTGTGTTGCTGGTTTGCTGACAGGGGAATTAGAGTCTGAAAACAGTAATTGCTGATATTAAATTGTTTTTTTTCAGAAAGTCACCTTCTAAGTAGTTACCTCCTAAAAACTCTAAAACCCTTTCTTTCCTGCCCCACCTGCAGTGTACATGACACCTTCTCATTGCTGAATTTCCTTAGCTCACTCAGCGTTTTTACTATTAAATTAACTAGGCAGCTATGGCCAGCAGTTCATGAGTCATTTGATGTCTGCTGGGGAGGAATATAGAACAAATGAGTCTGTTCTTTTCCAGGCCAAAGCTTACCTAAGGATTGCCGCAGAAGTGGTAAAACGATTGCCACCACCTCTAGAGTGAATTCCCCAAGTGTTCTGGAAATTGACCTGGTGCTTAACAATAAGAAGACCTTTGGAAATCAGCAGTGTGGTGATGAAACCTACAGCAACAATAGAACCATGGTTATTTTCTTGTATTTCTGAGGAAATAATGTCTTATTTTCAGATTTGATTTGCTAAGCAATGACTCACAAGTAAAATTTTTATATATTGGTGTTAACTGCTACATTTAGGATTTTTCTTTTGAGTGCCGATGTGTACCAACTGCACAGAACTGCGTATTATTTTAATGAATTACCCCTAGGGCTATCATAAGTTTATATTATAAGCCCAACCTTCAATTCAGGAAAGAACTGTGCTCTTTTTGTGGGACTACAGAGTTAGTCATTTAAAGTATTTACTGTGTACTGATACAAGTGTGATGACTCCATCAGTCAGTTTGGTCTGAGTTTCAATCTTGTCTTGGACTGTTGTGGACACATTCTTAACGTAAATTAACCTCTGCTTCATCTGGACCAGGCTCTACCCTAGACTTACTGAATATCATCTGCAGGGGTGAGGCCTGGAAGTTTATATTTTTAACAAGATCATAATGACTTTAATGATTATTATTATGATGGCAATAGTTATAATAGGTAACATTTATCAAGTGTTTTCATGTGTCTTTACAGTTAGTCTTCCATCTGTATGAATTGGGTACTGTTGTTACCTCCATTTTATAGATGAGAAAACTGAGATATGGAAGTGTTAAGTGTTTTGCTGAAGGTTTCTGTTCTAGCACATGATGGAGCTGGAATTTGAACTTGGATCCTTCCTTTTTTATACCAAAGAGTTTATTTCAAAAGAGAAATATGGTATTCAGCATTTCCTCAAACTTACTGGACCATGAAGGCTATCTCCCTCCCCTTTTAGGAGCATTTCATGGAGTTCGTGTTTCAAATGATACACTTTGAAAAGCATCTATCTTATCTAGTTGAGGCTCAGAGATTTAGGGGAGCTTTCCAAGATCAGGAAACAAAATAGTTATAAAGCTGCAAGTACTGATAAGAGTCATTAGTTGATGAGAAAGAATGAAATCTGGCCATTTGTAGCAATGTGGATGGAACTTGAGGGTGTTAATGCTGAGTGAAATAAGTCAGGCAGAGAAGGATAGATACCATATGTTTTCACTCATATGTGGAATAGGAGAAACTTAACAGAGAACCATGGGGGAAGAGAAGGGAAAAAAATAGTTGGAGAGAGGGAAGGAGGCAAACCATGAGAGACTCTTGAATACTGAGAACAAACTGAGGGTTGATGGGGGTGGGGAAGAGGGTAAAAAGGGTGATGGGCATGAAGGAGGGCACTTGTTGGGATGAGCACTGGGTGTTATATGGAAACCAACTTGACAATAAACTATAAAAGAAAAAAAGTAATCATTAATTGATCCTCAGTTATAAAGAAGTGGTCTGTGGCCTTTGGCAAATACCTTGAGATCTTTTGCTTAGTAGTTAGGTAGAAAATTAGGCAGAGAGTCACATGTTGTTATAAACATGTTTAACACATTTATGTTCATCTAAAAAAACTGTACATGAGTGTTCATGGCAGTTTTATTGGTAATCACCAAAAACAACACGGAGCTTTTCAGTGGGCAGGTGTTTAAACAAGATGTGATATATCCAACCATGGAATACTACTCAGGAGTGAAAAAGAATAAACTATGGATACCTGCAACAACCTGGCTGAATTCTAGACAGTTATACTAAATGAAAGAGCCACTCTCAAGAGGATTTATACCATATGGCTCCATTTATGGAACATTCTTGAAATGACAAAATTATAGAAATGGAGAACAGATTAGTGGTTTCCAGAACTTAAGGGAAGAAGGTTGCAGGGGACAGAATTGTGTGTGGTTTTAAAAGAGCAACATAAGGAATCCCCATGATGATGGAAATGTTCTGTTTTATGACTGTGTCAATACCAATATCTTGACAGATATTGTACTATAGTTCTCCAGCTATAGTTACTGTTGGAAGAAATTGGGTAATAGGACACATTGGAATCTCTGCATGTGAATCTACAGTTACCTCAAAATAAAAAATAAAATGTTAGTTAAATAAACATATTTTGCTCTGTCTGAACTGAAATGTCTTTGGCCAAATTATCCATGCTAATTAAGATCATGAATGAAAGTATTTATGAACACACAGTAATCATTCTTCATCACTGTGAGAAGGAAAGAATGACTTTAAGTTGTAGATATATATTTGTGTTTTTTTTTTTTTATATATTTGTGTTTTTATTGACTTTTGAGAAAAGGCTGATATAAACAATCACTGAATACTTCTAAATACCAAAAATACCTGGCTTACCTTTACCTAGAGGAAGAGTGATATAAATAAGCTCCAGAGGCACTTAAAGTTGTGTGCCGATTTAATACATCTCATAGAGAAATGGGAAGGATTATTTTATTCATAAATACATGACTTAGAAAAGAGCTACACATATAATCACTTGTTCTCTTCTCCTTTACCCTTGCTTGCAAGTCTTTGCAGATGTTTCCAGAAAAGCCACTAAAAAGATGGTGGTTGGAATATATAGCAGGTTTATAAGAGGTAGAATAGAAAGGAGCTGTAAGAGCAAGAATGAAGCTTGTTCTAAAATTTAGCCTATGGCAGCCTCTGCTAAGCTTCAAAGAGCTGACTTTAAAGACAGACTGTCAAGCACAGCTAGTCTGCCTGTCGTTATGTGTAATATTTATTCTGTATTCTTGACATTTCCATAGAATGTGGAGAATTTCCATTCCATTCTCCAGGAGGCAAGGCAGGCTGCCCCACCCACTCCATGCCAGGGAAGGAGGAGTGACACATCTTATGGGTAAATTTCTTCCTGTCTGCATTTCTTTAATTTCAACCAAATCCTGAGCTTTCTGCGGCAGGCTGCAGGGAAACCTATCCATTTCTGCCTTGGGTTTGGGTGGGCAAGTCCATCTAATTTAGAGGTTGGGTATTTGGTGGCCCACTATGATCACGTATCCTCTAGTCTAGCTTTTTGTCAGTTTGGCTAATATATATTTTTTATTTTTATCTAAATTCTGCCTCCCAGTTCCAAACAGGGGAAGAATCCCCACCACCACCACCATGCTCCAAAATACGTACAAATTTTCTGGAATCCTAGAAAATTAGAACCAAAGAACATATTACGGATCAGGAAGTTGCATCATTCCATTTGAAACACCTCTAACAATGAAAGATAAAAAAAGTTCATCAATGGCCAAAAACCATTATAGGGGGAGGTTATAATGAAGTATACTATATGTACAGTAAAGCATGGAAGACATAAGTATATAGGCTAATTATGTACAAAGTGGACACCCAAGTGACTGCCAACCAGATTAAGAAGTAAAACACCACAAGCATCACAGAAGACTCAGTATTTTCTCTCACAATTACTATCCTTTCTGTCCCTTAAAAGTTCACCATCTACTGATACACCTAAGCTTCTACTCTTAAATATTATAGTTTTACCTGCTTTTGAAATTTATATTAAATGAGATTATGTCTATATTAACTGCTTTTGCTATGTACTGTTTCTGAGTTCCATGTCTGCTGATGCATATGCTATTCATATTATTTATTGTAGAGTATTACATTGTTTGAATATATACAACTTCTCCCATTCCACTGTAATTGGATATTTGGGTTGATTCTACTGTTTTTTTTTTTAATATTTATTTATTTTTGAGACAGGGAGAGACAGAGTGAGAGCAGGGGAGGGGCAGAGAGAGATGGAGACACAGAATCTCAAACAGGCTTCAGGCTCTGATCTGTCAGCACAGAACCCGATGTGGGACTCGAACCCACAAACCGTGAGATCATGACCTGAGCTGAAGTCAGATGCTTAACCGACTGAGCCACCCAGGCACCTCTGATCCCACTGTTTTACAAATTGTGCTGTTACAAACATCTGTGTACATATTATCTTGGTGTTCTGTACTTAAATATCTGTTGCATTATTTCTGGGAGTGGAATTGTTGGTAGTTGTTTAGTGCTATCTCATGGTTTTAATTTACATTTCCCTGATTACAAATGAAATTGAGTACCTTTACATATATTTATTGGTTAATTAGATTTCTGGTTTTGTATACTACCCTTGTATATACCCTTGTCAAATCTCTTGCCTATTTTTCTATTGTGTTATTAGAGTGTTTAAATGAATCACTGTTCTGTGTTGAAGATACCTTTTCCACTCTATGATTGGTCTTTCACTCTCTTAATGGTGTCTTCTGATTAACCAAATGATCTTAATTTTAACATATTCAAATTTATTATTTTCTTTTATGATTATTGATTTTTGTGCAGTGCCACAAGGTCATGAAGATATTATCCTGTATTAATTTCTAGAAGTTTTAGCATTGTCTTGCCATTTACATTAAGTTCTATAGTTCACTTGGAATTGTTTTTTGGTTATTAGGTGAGGTAGGCACTAGGTTTCATTTTCTTTTCCTTGTGGTTATCTAACTGTCCCCTGGGACTGTCTTTTTCCTTTGCTTTTCTGCAGTACCACCTATGTTGTAAATTAATGCCTCAGTTTCTATGGGTCTGTTTCTGGGCTTTCTATTCTGTCCCATTGGTTTGTTTGTCTGCCTTTGCACCAATAACTCACTGTTATGTTTATTATCACCTTGCTGTTCAAGAATGCTTTGGCAAATCTTGATTTTTTTTTTCATTTTCATATAATTTTTGGACCAGCGTGTAAAGTTCACAGCAACAATGAAGTAGAGAGTTTCAGTTTTGCTTAGGGTGGAGGACTGGGAAAAGCATCATATCTGCCCTTAGAACAACAAAGAACTGTATGATCTACAAAATCATATCTTTTCTTAGACCCACTAGAAATCCTAAGTTACAGTGCAACCAAGTAGTATGAGATGTACGAAAAGACAGACCTCTCCAAGGAGACACAGGATGCAAGCATACTTTGGGAAAACACAGAAGAAAGAGATGTTACGCTCCCTCCAAACAGGTAAGAAAAATCCAGTGAAAAACTTTAACAAATTGCTAAAAGCTGCGTGTGGGATAACAGGAGAATCTAGAGCCCCTAGAAACTGTTCATTGAGGAAAGTTTGTATGCACTACTAGGCTTTTCTCTATGGACCTGACTGTGTGCCCAAGAGAAGAGTTGAGCATGGGGCAGGGGATTAGAGAAATCCTTTCTGAGTAGTACAGGCCTGGAGAGGGAGAGTAACTGCTGCTTGGAGAAAAACATAAAACCTTACTTGATTCCCCTTCCTTGTGGAACAAACATGTTTAAGTCACTAGGGCAGGGTAGCAAGGCCTCCTTCCTCAGATGGAGACCCATTATGACTGCAGGAGAGGACATAGAAAACCCCTAATCAGATGGAGAACAGGAATCCATCCCCACCCTAGCCATTAAAGACATTCTATCACTGAGGGAAGGATGGGATCACTGAGAAAGTCCATTCGCCAGGAATTGGGGATGTAGCACTTACTTAGAGCTAAGATTAGATCAAGACAACAGAGAATCCCCTGCCCCGGAGTAAGCTAAACAAGCTTTAAGTATCAAACATTAGAAGTGCCCCCAAGTGGAAGAGGGAGAAAGAATGTGAATAGAAAGATCAAAAACTAAGAGTAGAGCAGTCTGTCTTTCGACTTCAGCACAAGGTAATACCAAAGAGATTTGAAGCCAGTGGTGTACTGAAGATAACCATAACAACAGTAAAACTTAAATAAGATGAACCGTTGACTAAATTAACTCAGATCTGTTCATTAAATTTCTAACAAAATTAGTCATGTCCATTTTCAGCCATAAATACTATTTACCTCCATTTCTATTGTCCTACACATGATGTCCAGTATTAAGTGTAAAAAATTATAAGACAACAGAACTAGAACAAATAATCCTAAAATTCTTTAAAAAAATTTTTTTTAAATGTTTATTTATTTTTGAGACAAGAGAGAGACAGAGCATGAATGGGGGAGCAGCAGAGAGAGAGGGAAACAGAGAA